GGCAGTGGAGAGCAAAATCAAGCATCTGCAAGACAACGGCCCTTTGAGCCACTACCGCTTCTATGCTGCAATGCGGACGAAGCTTCTGCGCCAGCAGCACAAGGATCGAGACCTGGACGAGTTCTTGCAGCACTTTCGTTTCGGGAACTTGAGCGATGCCGTGCACGACAAGAGCGGCATGAGCGCCGTGATGTGCGCTGTTCTGTCAGGGGACATTGGCATCTTGCGATTCTTGGCCGGGAAGCGAGCTGACGTGAATCACAGACTGCATGGCATGAGCGACCTGGGATATTACGATACGCAGACGGCGCTCATGGCAGCAACAAAGTCGCGGCAGCCTCCATCTATGCTTGCAGCGCTTGTGGAGCTTCGTGCGAACGTCAACGCGCGCTCTCGAACAGGTCTACCAGCTCTGTTCATGTGTCGCTCGCATGGACACGTGAAAATGTTATTGGACATCCGCGCAGAGCCGTCCGACCTGGCCCTGAGTGGTGCTGCCGCTCTTGCTAACCCGGAGACTGTACAAGAGCTTCTGACGTGTCGCTGTGACCCGCGCAACATGGATGAGTTGGAGTTGGGGCCCCTGCATACGATCACCCTGGGGTCACGAAGCAATGGCAGAGCAGCTGAGACCGCAAGTTTGCTATTGGCGCACCAGGCAGACGTGAATGCGCGGGCTGCCCCAAAAGGCGAATATCTGTGGCAGTGCCGGCTTGCACGCATGCGAGTGGCTGTCTTCGGCTTCTCCAATTGCAGCTGGGCCAAAGAGTTTTGTGGCTTTGCAAGGTTCTGCCACATTAGTTGGGACCAACTTGTCTGGTAGAACATGTACCAACAGGCCAGTGAAGACACACTTGTCCAAGAAGTCTTGGTAAGAATGTACACCCCCTCTATGCGCACTGATTTCTACTTTTCGTGTTGACCCGAGTCTTGCTCAGCAGCCCTAAAGAAAACCTGTTATAAGCAGACCGGCTTTTACCCTCAACCATGCATCCAGTACCAAGACCTGTTGCACTCTTACCCTGAACCCAAAGACGGTCACCGCACCACCATCCAAATGATCAACCGCCTTACCAGCTTGCTAGCTCAACTCCCCGGGGAGCCCAATACCCCGTGATTAAGGAATAGAGCTTAAATCATATGAGGGACCCTAGTAACTAGTACCATTGAGGGTATGTTCCTTAATGAAGGGGTAGTGGGCTCTCCCGGCCAAGGCAACATGATAACTCGCTACTCGGTTGTTCAGTATTCGTCTTTCTTTTCTGGTGGTTGCATCCCCAGCATATCTAAACTAGCCACCGCAACAACGGTTTACGTGTTCCTAAGGGTGTTGGAGCAGCGCATGTAAGCCTGGAGCCCTACCCCCTCCACTCTCAAGATAGATTAAGACTTCTCGGCCCATGGGTATTCGAAAATGAAAGAACCAGCCAAGGGGCTTATGGTTGTGTTATAAGCACAGCTGCAAGTAAAACTTTAACCCTACACCCTAAACTCTAAACCCTAAATCCTAAACCCTAAATCCTAAACCCTAAACCCCCAAACTCCCTAAACCTTAAAGTTTTCAGTGCACATGCACCTGCAAGCAAAGCCTCAACCTCAGACCTGTTTTCCCGGCCGGTTCCCAGGGAATCCCAGTCTACAAAATCATAGTTTATAGGATTTAGGGTTTAGGGTTAAAAGTTTATGGGGTTCACGGGGTTTATGGGGTCTGGGGTTGTTTAGGGTTAAGGGTTTAGGGTTGTTTGGGTTTAGGGTTGTTTAGGGTTAAAGGTTTGGGGTTTAGGGTGTATGGGGTTAAGGGTTTAGGGTTTACAGGGTTTAGGGTGATTTGGGCCCCCCAAAAAACTGTGGACAACACCTCTGTAAAGAAACCTTATGTAAACTCCGGACATCAAGTTTCCATTTGATTCACCCTAAACCCTAAACTCTTCCCTTCCCCCCAAGAGTCCACTGTGGACTATTGGGATTTCTATACCTTACCCGGGCTATGGACTCTGCAGATGTAATCCTTAAACTCCTGGGTTTAGGGTTTAGGGAAGCCCTATACCCGACACCGCAAACCTTAAGCCCTACATCCGACCCAACTCCCCGAACCCTAAGCTGGGTTGCTGTTAAGGAACTTAATTGAACTTACTCTATTGGGGAAACCTTATCAACCTTATCAAGTACTCTATATATATATATGTGAATTATGGTAACTGAATTCAAATTCCTGAACAGCAACCCAGTAAGGCTATGGAGCCTCCATAGGAGGCATGTCACCTCTTGGCTTTGCGGCAATGCTCGGCCATGAGCCGCTCACGAAGCTGTTCCTGGCACATGGGGCCGAGACTTGTTTCGGCAAAGGATTCCCTTCAAAGGGGGTTCCACGGATGATATGAGGGGTATGCAGGGACATTTTAGGCTTTAAGGTTTTGGGTTCTTACGGGTGTAGGGCTTTGGGATTTCGAACTTAGCGTTGTTTAGCGTTGTTTGGGTTTGTTTCGCTCCTGAGTTTTAATTCAGATCCACTGTAGTACCCGATTCTACTTGCTTGAATAATTGCTATGAGGGGGTGGCAGGGGTATTACTAGAATTCAGGGCAGATTTGTTTTCTGGACCTTCCTCTTACCCTCGATTGGGGATGTAGGGCCCCCCTAAACTTCATAAGGCTTAAACTGTGGTACTGAGGCCGAAACAGGAGGCAGTGGAAGTGCCAAGGTAGTTTTGTTTTTTTTGTTTTCCGGTTTGGTGGTTTTAGGGTTTTGTGGATCTAGTGGGTTCAGCTTTTGGGGCGTTAGGGTTTGGGCGATTTAGAGTTTAAGTGTCTCAGAGTTTCAGACTACATACATCACAGCCACAACTTCATTCACCAGCAGATAAAGTAAACCAAGATTCATCCTACAAGGAAGCACCTGAATGGTAAGCAAGTAAGTAAGTATGGTTGGTTCTACTCTAACTAGTCAAGGTGCGCACAACCACATTGGAAGCACCGCCCAGGAGATCTTTCCCAATGATCGAGGGGACTCACCCGAAGATTTGGCACGGTTAGGTCAGCACTACCATCTTCTGCCTCTCCTGTCCACCTTCTCCACATAATCGGCGACTGGGAAGCTCGATCTCTTGTCTTCGGCGGCAAATCATTCGCTGCTCACATGGAGGCTGTGTCTTGCAAGACCCTCTCAGTACCCTTAATTGTTTTTTTTTTGGGCCCCTTCTTGTAAAAGCTAGTGGGAGGGCCTAAGTTACAACATGTGGATCATACCCTAAACACACATTACTAAAAGAACCATGTTTAAGCGCGCAAGGAGGCGCCTAATAGTCGATGGGGACTGCATTTTCGTGGTGGGAACTTTATGGCCACCTGACCTCCAACCCAAACCATGTCGATGTGGCCATCCTAGGGGGTCCGAAAATGGGTTATTCTCAAAACGTTGGTTATAGATTATATGACAGCACCACAATGGGACCCCACATTTTGGGAACTATGGGGCCCTTATTCCATACTAGTGATATATCTGACCTTCCCGGCATGATAAGCACCACTAACCAAACAGGCTCTGATTTCAGGTTTTTGAATGGTTCTCAACCCGTGCACGCCATGAACCCTAGACCCTGCCCATGGATGGAGGAGAATTGCCACCGCCCTACATATCTTAAAGCACTGTATATCCGGGATCCGAGTTGGTGGAAGATTTTTCCAATTCCCCGCAGCTCTGAGCCAAACAAGCGGATGATTTGACAAACAAGAAGTAGTACTCATAGCAGCCATAATAGCAATAATCGCCATAGTAGTACTAATCGCATACCAATAGCAGCGATATTAAGCATAGAAACAATAGTAACGATCGCTATAATAGTAATGGTAGAAATAACAATAATGATAGTATTGATATTGGTGAGTTGTTGTTATTGCTGGTATGAAACCTCCGAAGACCAGCATCTCTTTCCTGGATAAAAGTTTGAATACTTCTCATTGCTCCCCTACCTCTGGACAGGCTTTATTACATAATTCTGGCAATTCAGAAGGGTTCCCTAAACCCTATAACACCTGAACCCTAACCCCTTTACCCGAAACTGCATGTCCACCATAAGTTCATCTCACAGGTTCTTGGCTTCAGGCTTGCGTGTACAGGTGTGTTCCCAAAGGGTCCAAGTACCTAATAATCATATACTTACCCCAAACTTGTGCGATAATTGTACTATTACCCCAAACCCAAGTACCTAATTATTGGGTACTTGGACCCTCTTGGGTTGGGCATATGTGCAAACCTTGAACTCTGAACCCTGAATTTTTTGGTGAGGTATACAGCCAATGCCCCGAGGTGTGTTCAATTGTGCCCGTGCCTCACGTGATAGTTGGATAGATGGTTGGATAGTTCCGCTCCTCTGAGGGGTTCTAGAGTTTAGTAGTTAGATTAGTTCGCTCCTCGAGAATCCCTAGCGTTTGCGATCTAGGCCGGATATCATCCCTACCCTATAGTGCCCTATAGCAATCACCCTGTATTGCAAGTTGGTAATACTAATTGCACCCGTTCTCAGGGTCCTATATATGCATGTTATAGGGTGGAGACAGCAGCTTAGGAGTCAGCATCCGGTGACAGGTCAGGCGTGAATTAGCACAGGGTGTTCTAGAAATCTCTGCATTCCCGAGCCCACTCGCATGTACAACCCCTTTTATGCTATCCCTACATTATGGGAATGTCACCTGCTAACTTAGGCTAATGAAAGCCCTAGACCCTAAACCCCTAGACCCTAAACCCTAAGCCCCTAGACCCTAAACCCCTAGACCCCAAACCCTAAACCCTAAGCCCCAAGACCCTAAACCCCTATAGACCCTAAACCCTAAACCAAGGAGTACGGGGTTGCATAGAGGTTTGGTGAGCCTCGGGATGACATAGATTTCTGGGTTGCTGTGAAGGAACTTAAAATAAGTTACCATAATGGGTTTAGGGTTTAGGGTTACCATAATGGGTAGATATAGTAAATAATAGGGTTTCCCCAATATAGTAACTTAAATTAAGTTCCTTAACAGCAACCCAGAAGATTTTAGCCTTTTTCGGAACTCTCTGAGGAGATTGCAGGTGGGTAGCTTCCCGCTTCTCCCCTTGACGTTGGGAAATTTAAAGCGACCTCACCCGACCTCACCCGACCTCACCCTAAATGGTGGTCTATCTAGGGAATAGTATCCGGATGGCCTTAAATTGGGAATTGAAATTAGTTTAGATGACCTTGTATAAGCCTCACATAGCCCTTATGCAGTCCTAGAAACGAGGCACCCCAAATAAGCTTTAAATCGCCTTATGTAAGGGTACCCACCTGGTATCTCCCTACTTGAACCTGACCCCAAGCCATCTTGCTGGGAATGCCTGTGTCTGATATGCTTGGCGCAAGTTTCCACTGGCAGTCCCGACATTCACAATATGCCCTGCATTCACAGCAATTGTTCCTAATACTCCCAGATCCTAACCTCCATTGTGCACCATGGGCGCCTTGATGTGCTCGCCGGATGACGGGCAGACCTTCAAGAAGTCAGCAGTGCACGAGTGCAGGTTCCCGCTGTGGGCTGTAAAAGTGTCCGACTTCTTGAAGATGAAGGGCCCTCCGGAGCCGCATCACGTGCTGAAAGAGAAGGGTTCATTGCACCAGTGGTATCCAGGTATGTTTGTCATATTTGTTTCGCACCAGTGGTTGAGCTCCGTACATCCTGACCCGGAGGGGCATCAAGTGGAAGTCCTACGCCGAGCTCTCCAGAGAATAATCGACGGTTCGCTGCAGGTCCATGAGGACATGGCATCAAGTTCCGAGGAGAAGAGCGTGTCACGGGAGATTCGTCGTCAGATTTCGGAAGGGTACCTTTTCCTGGATTGGTTCGCAATCCCACAACTCACTGCGCGAATGGCGGGGGTGAACGAAGATACAACCAAGCAGGATGCAGCTTTGGCTGTCCAGAGTATTCCAGCCTATGTGGAGCTGTCCGCCGTGTTCATCGCTCTTGTACCGGAACTGGTTCACACAGATTCTGGGCATCCGGTAAATTATGCGAGTTGGCTTTCGAGGGGGTGGTGCAGGGCTGAATTATGGTGCCGGCTTCTATCTAACAGGGAGGACACCAGCATCATCGTGATGTACACTGCCTTGGAAGCCGAGTTCATGTTTCCCATGGACTGGCAGCACAACAGCATCGTGGAGGGTAACTTCACAGTAGAGGCTGATCGAGCAGATGTTGTGCGACTAGGTGAAATGGCGGTGGAGAGCAAAATCAAGCATTTGCAAGCAAATGGCCCTCTGAGCCACTACCGCTTCTATGCTGCAATGCAGACAAAGCTTTTGCGCCAGCAGCACAAGGATCGAGACTTGGACGAGTTCCTTCGGCACTTTGGCTTCCATAGCTTGAGCGAGGCAGTGCAAGATAAGAGCGGCATGAATGGTGTGATGTGTGCGGTTTTATCTGGAAACATTGAAGTCCTTCGACTGCTGGCTCGTAGGGGGGCCGACATGAATCACAGTCTACAGGGCATGAGCGACCTGGGATATTATGACACACAGACGGTTCTCATGGCAGCAACAAAGTCGCGGCAATCCTCATCCATGCTCGAAGCGCTGGTGGAGCTTCGCGCGAATGTCAATGCCCGATCTCGAGTCGGGCTACCGGCTCTGTTCCTCTGCCGCTCGCCTGAACATGTAAAAGTTTTGTTGCAGATCCGCGCAGAGCTGTCTGACCTGGCACTGACTGGCACGGCCGCGTTCGCAAGCCCAGAGACTGTTCAAGAGCTTCTGACATGTCGCTGTGACCCGCGCAACATTGCAGAGTTGGAGAGCGGGCCTCTACATTTAATCGCCGTGACCGCGCGAAGCAATGGCAGAGCAGCTGAGACTGCAAGTTTGCTTTTGGCGCACCGCGCAGACGTGAATGCCCGGGCTGCCCCGAGAGCCCATTATCTGTGGCGGTGCCGCTTCGCACGCATGCGAGTGGCTGTCTGCGGCTTCTCCAACTGCAGCTGAGCTCACATAGAGTTCTTACTTCTGTTTGGCAGATTCGGGATATCAGCATGGTGTTCCTTGCTTATCTTAGATCACCGTGCTGTTGCCATGGTTTGCATCTGACATCTATTTCAGCTGGTCGTCGCACTGCTACCACCCTAAGGGTCCAAGTACCTGATAATTATATACTTGCCCGAAACCTGTATTAAAATTACTGTTACCCAAAACCCAAGTCCCTAATTATTGGGTACATGGACCCTCTGGGTTACAGCTACAGGAAATGTTTCAGTCAGATCGTCTTAACTTGTGTAATTGCGTGGAGGCGCAGACTTGCAGCTTGCTCAACCCAGTACTTGCTGGGAGTTAGTCGGGAATAAGGGAATAAACTATATGGGGATTATATAGGGATTCTGTTCCCTTATTCCCGACAAACACCCAATAATGACATCGCAACCCTAAACCCTAAACCCATTTTTCCAAACGATGAAACATCTGAAGAGCGCAGGGGGGCTTAGTTGAGCTCAAAATGACAGATTCAGCCCTGGCCATGCTAGCGTTACGGAGCCCTTTAGGGTTTAGGGTTCAGGGTTTAGGGTTTAGGGTTTAGGGTTCAGGGTTTAGGGTTTAGGGTTTAGGGTTTAGGGTTTAGGGTTCAGGGTTTAGGGTTTACCGGCTTCCTAGTCCTGAAGGCCTACATATTTCTGTCAATAGATACTTACAGGCTTCTGCAAATCTACCTGCCTTCTAGCATTAAGGCAAACTGCCACAATGTTAGGGGTGTTGCTGCCTGGTGCTGCAGTCGAAACCCTAAACCCTAAATCCTAAATCCAAGACCCTGAAGCCGGATGTTTCGAACCCTAAGCCCTCAACTTCAACTTCAAAATTGACGTCCAAGGCAACATGATGACGCGCTACGCTGCCTCTGTAGCGGGCTTGACGCCCTTGGGCTTCGCCTCTATGCTAGGACTGATGGAGGTTTAGGGTCCAAGGTCCACAAGACCCCTCTACCCTTAGTTGGGAGTAGGGCCCCTAATAGTGGTGCTTCTCGTTCCCAAATCCTAAAAACATAAGCCATAAAACCTTGCCTACACCCTCCACCTACCCTCTATTCTGGCCTTTGGGGATTTGTCCGTGGCTTCGGGAGAGAGCGGGCTCAAGGGGGCTGCTTGGGTTTTCGAAGAAAGCCGGACCAACTGTTGCCGGCTCCTTTCTGCTCCTTTTCTGCCTCTGCAGCGTTTAATGAGAAGGGTAGATTCCCAAATCCCTTTACTTTCATGTAGATGCATCTGTATTTTTCTTCGCTGCTTCATGTGATATTCCTTTGCGGTTCCCACACGCCCATGGCAATGTCTTCGTGGCAATGTGGTTTAGAGCTTGACCAAAACCTCATCCTAACCTCCCGATGTGAGCTTACGTTTAAACTCCTTAAAGGAGGTTATATAGGGGAGTATTGAAGGGGTTATGAAGGGGGATACTAGGAATGTAGACTATGGCTCATATGATACATCTCAGAGTTTTCATGATCCACGAATCCACGCGATGTGCGATCAAACAACCCTTAACATCCCACATCCCCAAATCCCGAAACCCTGAACCCTAAATCCTTAAGCCCTAAGCACCCAGAGATGGCTGGGTGCTGAAGGACATGAGCCGCTGACCAGGGTGTTCCTGGACCATGGAGCAGACCCACGGCCAGTTTAGGGATTAGGGTTTAGGGTGCAGGGATTAAGGTTCAGGGTTTCTGGAATTAAGGTTAGGGTTTTGCGATTAGGGTTTTGGGATTCGGGTCTAGAGTTCATTAGGGTCTAGGGTTTAGCGTTTAGAGTTTGGGGATTAGGGTTTAGGGATCAGGGTTTAGAGCTTAGGGTTTAGGGTTTAGACCTGATTACGCGGACCTTCCTGGCACACTTCAATACGGGTTATGGTGCCCCTGGTAGCGGGTAAATAGGGTATACTGCCGGATAGAAGAAGGGTGGTGTGTTTCTGATTTGTTATGGGCCCTCTCACCCTAAGGGTCCAAGTACCTAATAATAATATACTCGCCCAAAAACCAGTATTAAGATTATTATTACCACAAAAATGCCGACCCTGAATTTTACTTAGGAATGATTGAGAAACCCTAAACCCTCTACCCCAAACCCTGAACCCTAAACCAAACCTTGTACCGTATAATTGATCCAGGTTTGGGGCTCTAGGTCTGGTAGTGTTGAGCTCAAAGATGGCCAAAGGCGTCTGTTTCAAGCTTCGCACGAGGTCCTTGCGCTACGCATATTTGGAGCCCCCTAAAGAGACCCCAAGACGGTCTAATCCTTATCATGAGGACCTCCAAAACAGTACCCCTAATTCTAGGAATGCCCCATGTGACTCTTAATTTATCGGAGACTTGTTCAGGTTGTGTTTCTCAAGTAAACTATCTGCCCAGATGCTGCCGTCAAACCAGCATCCTCCCTCCTTAATCCTTTGGGTTAAGGTTTAAGGTTTAGGGTGTGGGTTCAGCAACCCTATGAACCCTCATATGAGCTATAGTCTAAACTCCTAGTATCCCCTTAATAACCCTTATAGCAGTGCCCTATATAATCCCCCATATAACCCCCTTTAAGGAGTTTAGACTATGGCTCATATAATCCCCCAGCGTACCTTGAGCTCCTAGAGTTCAAGGCTTGGGATTTGGAGGGCTTGGGGTTGTGGATCTTTGGAGGCTCCTAGGACCATGTTGTGCTTTCTAGTGGAAGGCTTGGGCTTTGGGTGGGTTTAGGGTTTAGGGTATAGGGTTTAGGGTTTGGGATCCCGCGACTTGAAGGGTCAGGGGGACTCAGGAACTAGCTCAATAAGAACCCATATAAGAACCCTGCTTATCCCCACTATGAACCTACTTGCTAAGTCCTCCTGACCCTCCCAGTATGGGTCCGGATACAATCAAGCCCTAAACCCTGAACCCTAACTTCTGAACCCTGGATTAATAACCCCTGAACCTCAAACTATAAACCCTAAATCCTGAACCCTGAATCCTAAACCCTAAACCCTAAACAGGATCCCAGGAGCCACCTTCTGGCAACAGTCCCCAAAGCAAGGACTCCCTGAAAAAAACGACCTGAATATCTCCACAAAATAGGGGGTTTCCTAAAATTAGGGGTACCTTTTTGGGGGTCCCTGTACTGAGGATCATAATATATTAAATATTGGGGTCTATATTGGGGTTCCCTCATTTTGGGAAACTACCAAATGGAGAAGCGAGTGGAAAAGCAAGTGGACTATGAGGTGGATATTTTCCTAGTAATGGAGAATCAAAATGGAAAAGAGCATGGAATATAACATCGTGGAAACTGGGTTAAGACCTCTTTCAGCCGGCAAACATATTTGAGGAAGTTACCGACTACGTTGCCAATATGATGTCCGAGCTAGAGGCTATTCACCCTACATGTTTAGTTCCCCAAACGTGATGCCCCATTTAATATTAGGTGCCGTACTATAATGTGTAACCGAAAGGGGCCCATAATTTTGAGAATGACCTAGATAAATATCTACACCAGAGCTCTGAGTAATTATAGTTGTGAATAGCTCTAAGTTGGCATAGCTATGTCCGAAGCTAAGTTGGGGGCTTCCTTAGTGCCCTTGTAGAGTGAGTACAGCCCAGGGTCACCTGCGAAACGATCGTGGGGACTCGCCAGAAGACTTGGCACGTTTGGGTCAGCACTACCATCTTCTGCCTCTCCTGTCCACTTTCTCCACCTGAGCCGTTGGACAATATACTTGCTTGAAAAGAGGCTACTGCTGTCTGTATCTTGCCCCAAACTGACGTGGAACCCAGCCCCCGTTAAGAAGGCGGGAAGCCTTTACGGGCCATCCTTTGGTAGTTCCAGGGGAGCTTTGTAACCGGTACCAGGGCCTTTGGGGGAGTAGTATGGGCATATGTGGGACTAGGCTTTAGGCAATTGTGATATGCTTGAGACGTGTTACTGTTTACGATAGCTGGCAAGCTTCACAATACGGACCGCATACGTGACGGGACCCCTACATAAGGTTTGTAAGTTGATACAGCCGCAAGCACCTTATACTGTACCTTGGGAAGTATGGCCTTAGGGTCCACCAAGATCATGCCGAAATTGCTGCCTCAGCTGTATGCATCCTAAACTTAAGCAGGACTTAAAGCACCCTGCTCGGGATGTGGGAGCCAGTAGGGTCTGTTCGGCGATGCAGCCAGTTGCCTTTAGCAGCATGCAGGATCATCAAGGAATGTGCGGCATTTCGAAAGAGCAGTGGGGCTTATAGGGTTTAGGGAGTAACCCCGCCCAGAAACGCAGGATTCGCAATACGGGGTTATCCACAGATGACAGATAGCTGGGAGAACAGGCACATCTGTGGGGTTTCCTGACTATTAGGCCCTAAACCCTAAACCTTAAGATTCAATGGGTAGTGGGTAGCGGGATGCTGCAGAATGGAGGTTGTGTGACTGTAGTGTATGTAAATCTTCCCCCTAATATTAAACCCCATACCCCCTGATATTAAATACTCCCAATTTTTTTAAACAATATACTGGAAGTATTCAAACGCTGTCGCACGCCCGCCTCGGCTGGCGGGGCGCGGAGCACACGAATAGGTCAGGGCATGTAGTTGGCACGTGGGGTTTAGGGTCGGGGAGTATCGGAGGCAAGCCTCACTTCAGACTGTTTGTTGCATGCATGTTGCAGCATTCATGGGGGTTGGCTGGGCTTAGTCCATCAGTCTAAGGGGGGAGTGGGGGGCAATGCTTGCTGCCGTGTACTGTGACAGCTTCCTTCCTGGGGTGAAGCAAGAATTCCACGCGGGGTGGTCAGGCTGGACTAGGCTACCCACCATGGGACGGGGGGTTCTGAACGCCCTGAGGCTGCATAGCCTCGGCGAATATTAAACCCCACACCAAAATTTACAATATACCACATACTGGGAGTGTTCAATTTTGGGGTGGGTGGGGGGTTTACAACCCTAAACCCTAAACCCTAATAGTTTGAAGCAAGCTTCCTATTCGGCTTGCAAAGGCAGCGAAAGCCTTCTTACGGGTTGGGGCTTAGGGTCAGGGCTTATAGTGCCTTGGATTTAGGGTGTAGGTTTTAGGTTTAGGGTTTAGGTTTTAGCCCTCAGGGTCCAAGTACCTAATAAGCATATACTTACCCAAAACCTGTATTATAAGTACTATTACCCCAAACACAAGTACCTCATTATTGAGTACTTGGACCCCCTACATATCCTTATATATCCCTATATCTACCTATATACCCCTATATATCCCCCTTAAAGGGACCGAATTATTGGGTACTTGGACCCTTAGGGTAGGTTCTGGGGCTTTTGGGGTTCAAAGAAGCCAGCCGCGCGGCCTAGCACCAGGTGTTAGACGTCTTGTTAAGGGATCACACTAGTACCCCCCCCCCCCAGGGCCTAAGGAGCTAATAAGGACTATAATATAGGGCTTAATGAGGCCTAATAGGGTTCTAAATCTGGGGGGGTACCTTTGGGGGAAGTCATTATTGTAATCCCTGACTTGCTGTTCTTCTCAGAACTCGCACTTGGAAACAGCAGAAATTGAAAACGTGATCTTGTCAGAGACGCGATTGACAACTATCTACCTAGACTTCCTTATTGCATTGCCTTCACGGAAACGTCATGTTCAGAAAGTACAAGTGCGTTCTAGCTGTTCTAAGAGTGGGGACCTGGAAAGGGCTGCAGAACAAGGTCCTTACCCTAAAGCCTAAACTGCTTTCGGACCATCTGAGCTATAGTCTACACTCCTTAAACGGGGCTAAACCCTAAACCCGAAACTCTAAACCCTAACCCTACACTCTAAACCGTGCCCCAACACAGACACCTCACCTTTTTGTTTCCAGCATTCCTAACTCTACTGGGCCTTGCCTTTAGCTGCTGTTCGCCATTAGGGCTCAGTGCAAAGTTATGTAGGTGCTTTTCAGAGTCAAGTGTCATGGCGAAGGTGTGTAATATAATCTCAGAGAGAGAGAGAGAGAGAGAGGGACATGCATATATGTATATGCTTATTTATATGTTCATTTTATCTATGTTTTTAGCTGTATGCATACAACCCCCCATGGACCTACGCAAGCGTCCCTCTCGGTACTACAAATCCTGCATGGGCCTAAGTACGTACCATCTACCTTTTTCAATGACGGTAAGTATAGTTACTATAGTAACCACAGTATACCCAGGCCATGCAGGAATTTTTGTGTCAACGGTATCTCGCAAAAGCGCTGATTGATTTCAAGCCTTGCTATTTTACACAAGACTGCCCTCAAGATGCAAACAGAAGCAAAGCAGATAATATCTATAGAATCTGGGCCCAAAATGAATATTTTTTCTAGGCTTGAAGCCTCAGGGTTAGTGCCCCGTATAAACACTTGAGCTAGTAGCGTTCCTGTATACTCGTCCCAAAAGATTTGCAATACTGAGATGCCCTCTACTGGTTGCCCGAAAAGCTTAAGCATCAAAACCCTTGTCCTATAGATCCTACGTCCGATCTGCAGATCAAGGGTTCAGGGCACAGGGTTTGACTGTAAACCCAATGACCTACAGTTCTATGGATTCTACCTTGCAATTTAGAGATAATTTCTGGTAAGCTGTAGGTTCTTAGTTGGAGTTGCTCTACAATCTTTAGCCCGCGAGTTTCAAAACTGCGGACAGTTCTCGCTGAGCAGCTCCATGGGTGCATCACTGTGCGTGCACACAGACACGCTTGCGAAGGTGCAGTCGACAGTGCATGAGAGCCGCTTCCCGCTGTGGGCTGTAAAGGTGTCCGACTTCTTGAGAATGAAAGGCGCGCCGGAACCTCACCATGTGCTGCAAGAGAAGGGCTTACTGCACCAGTGGCATCCAGGCATGTTTGTGATATTTGTTTCGCACCAGTGGCTGAGCTCCACGCATCCGGACCCCGAGGGACGGCAGGTGGAAGTGCTTCAGAAAGCGCTGGAGCGAATAATCGACGGCTCATTGCAGGTCCATGAAGACATCACATCTCGGTCGGCTGAGAAGAGCTTATCCCGCCAGATCCGCCATCAAATTTCAGAGGGGTACCTTTTCCTCGATTGGTTTGCAATCCCACAACTCACTGCACGGATGTCTGGCGTGAACGAGGACTCGACCAAGAACGATGCAGCTTTGGCTGTACAGAGTATTCCAGCATATGTGGAGCTGTCCGCCGTGTTCATCGCTCTTGTACCGGAACTGGTTCACACAGATTCTGGGCATCCGGTAAATTACGCGAGTTGGCTTTCGAGGGGGTGGTGCAGGGCTGAATTATGGTGCCGGCTTCTGTCTAACAGAGAGGACACTAGCATCATCGTGATGTACACTGCCTTGGAAGCCGAATTCATGTTTCCCATGGATTGGCAGCACAACAGCATCGTGGAGGGTAACTTCACAGTAGAGGCTGATCGAGCAGATGTTGTGCGACTCGGTGAAATGGCGGTGGAGAGCAAAATCAAGCATTTGCAAGCCAATGGCCCTCTGAGCCACTACCGCTTCTATGCTGCAATGCGGACAAAGCTTCTGCGCCAGCAGCACAAGGATCGAGACTTGGACGAGTTCCTTCGGCACTTTGGCTTCCATAGCTTGAGCGAGGCAGTGCAAGATAAGAGCGGCATGAATGGTGTGATGTGTGCGGTTTTATCTGGAAACATTGGAGTCCTTCGACTGCTGGCTCGCAGGGGTGCCGACATGAATCACAGTCTGCAGGGCATGGGCGACCTGGGATATTATGACACACAGACGGTTCTCATGGCAGCAACAAAGTCGCGGCAATCCTCATCCATGCTCAAAGCGCTGGTGGAGCTTCGTGCAAATGTCAATGCCCGATCTCGATCAAACTTGGCGGCCTTGTTCATGTGCAGATCACCTGAACATGTGAAAGTACTGGTGGAGAGCAAAGCAGAATTAAAAGATTTCGTTTTGGATGGTGCAGCCTTCTTTGCTGGACCGGATACCGTGCAGACCCTTCTCGCATACCGTTGCGACCCCAATCAAGTGAATTTCCTGAAGTCTGAGCCTTTGCATTCAGTTGCCATGGGGTGTCGAGGTAACAATAGGGCTGTGGAAAATGCAAAGCTGTTGCTCTCGCACAGGGCCGATTTGAACCGGCGAGCAGAGGCAACTCCCGAGTTTGTCTGGCCGTGTCGCATAGCCCGGGTGCGAGTGGCCCTGTTCGGCTTTACCAACTGCCACGCGGTCCTTCTTAGATAACTTTGCATATACCACGCCTCTTATGGCTCTAGTTCATTCTTTTTGGCTTGATCCTGTGCATATGAGCCATAGTCTAAACTCTTAGTATCCCCCGTAATAAGCCCATAGTAGTGCCTTATATCACCCCCTAAATAACCTCCTTTGAGGAGTTTAGATTAAGACTCAGATCAAGACCGTGATATCTCCGCTACGGATTAGAAAGCAAGCTTGAATCCCAAGCTCTTCAGAACTTGTAGTAGTATCTTCAAAAAATGGTTGGTTTAGGGTTTAGGGACTGCTTATCAAAGACTTTAAGTTTGTACCCTATTCCTATTGTAGGAGCCCTACTTTATACAAAATCCGAAGTCCTGCGCCCTAAACCATCTCCTGGCTCCCCAACAGGGATAACTCCTTCTTGGGGGTCCCCAAAATAAGAATTATAGTATTTGGGAGTCCATATTGAAGTCCCCTCAACCCTAAACGCTATCTGGGAAAATATCATATTATTCACAGACTGTTCATCTGTGGGCGGTGGGAAAGGAAGCCTAGACCCCGCCCCCCAAGGTAACATGATCACGCGCTGGTGGGCCTCAATTCCGGGTGTCTTGGGTATTCAGGAACAATGGTTGCGATTGTGTGGAATGTATGCTAGAAACCCAAAACATTAAACTCTGGACACTAAACCCCAAACTCTAAGCCCTAAACCTTAAGCCCTAAACCTTAAAGCCCTAAACCCTAGACCCTAACCCTAAACCTTCAAGGTTTGGGGTTTAGGCCCATTTTTGTGCAAGGTAAGCCAGAAACAGGGGGTAGCTTATTGTACATTTGGCACATGGAAAATAAGACTCTTGAGGAAAAGGGTGTAGGGTTTAGGGTTTCTCAACATTTGTGAGCACATCTATTGGATGTCATCTCGGGGCACCACAAACAAAACTCCCATCATATACCATCACAAAGACATGTCTAAGCCTGATTCGCTCAACTCTTGACCCCATACAGGCTAGCGCTGGGCAGGTACTTGTCAATAAATTTGAACCCTGAATTAAACCTTAACCCACAAACCTTGTGTAGGGAATCCTTAGCCGTGCTACTTGGCAATGCTGCACACCCTTGGGGAGCGGACTCGTAGCCTATTGTATAGAGCTAGTGAATTCCTGTGTATAGATTCTTACATAGCCCCTGTAGAAACTCCGCACAGAATACCCTAGTTTTGCCAGCCCCAGCACTCTACTTTGATGGACCCTGGTGTTACTAATGGGTTAAGTAATCTACTTACAATGGGTTACAATAAGGTTATAATGGGCTTAGGGGCTAGATGATATTAGCTAACTCCAGGGTCCCTTAAAGTAACCCTAGGTATGTCGGCCCTACACTTTGCTGCAATGCTGGGACATGAGCCGCTGACGAAGCTATTGCTTGACCACGGTGCTGACCCCTGCTTGATGAATGTGAGCTGCTGATTAGTGTACTAAACTCGTACTAGATCCCCCACATTAGCGGAGGAGCGGGGCCCCGAAATGAATTTGTGTCAGAGCTTTGAAATGAGAATCACGACAACCAGGGTTTCCGGGATCGGCAGCTGAGGGGGAAGGATTCTTGATTGAGATCCCTAGGCACGCCACCGCAAAATATATAGGACGGTGTAACTTCGCACAATTCAGCAAACAAATCACGAGGACGAGGTGAAGAATGGCTTTGGCCCGCACAATTAAGGACCCTCACGCAAATCCGGACTCGACATTAAGTAGATGTAGGGAAGGTTCAAGCGGAGTTTAGGTCTTCTCAAAATTGTTTTGGCGTTCGGACTTAGACTTGCTTTGAGGGACCCTGGTGTCATGTAAGAGCCATAACCCACTCTAAAGCCTTTGTAAGTAGGTTACAGAACCAAACACAGGAGTAACCCTAGGATCCTTGAAAGTAGCAAAGGGGAATTGGCAGAGAGCTCTCATGCGGCTCAAGGTTTTGGTTGCGATGGCTCAAGTTTAAAGTTTAGGCGTGGCTTGTTTAGGGGTTAATTTGGCAGTTCCCCAAAATGGGGGAACCCCAATATGCACCCCAAAAGACTATAATCCATTATTCTGGGGACCCCCAAAATGGTACCCCTAATTTTGGGAAACCCCAACCCCTATAATCCCCTATATAACCCCAGTTTCCATTTCATTTTCCATTTTCTTTTCCATTTGATTCTCCATTATAGTAGGTAGCCCTAATTTTGGGACACCCCCCATTTAAGGTCCTGGGAGGCCAAGTCTATAAAAAAGCTTGCGCTAGGCCCTCCAGTCGAGATATACCCTAAGGGTCCAAGTACCCATTAATTCGGTCCCTTTAAGGGGGATATATAGGGGTATATAGGTAGATATAGGGATATATAAGGATATGTAGGGGGTCCAAGTACTCAATAATTAGGTACCTGGGTTTGGGGTAATAGTACTTATAATACAGGTTTTGGGTAAGTATATGATTATTGGATACTTGGACCTTTAGGGATAACTAACACGACAGGATCCCTCTGAAGGTAGGGTTTAGCGTGTGTGCCTTTGAGGTTCATTGTTCATGCCTGGACCCCAAAAGTCTGTAGAATACCAGCTGTTTTGGTTACGTTTAGGGCTTATGGAGCATCATCTTACACCTATTTGGGGGGTCCAGGTAGTGGTTCGAATCGGGATGCATTCAGGTTCTTTTGGAAAAAGAAATCGAAATTCTGGGCATGTGCTTCAGCGGCGGTTTCTGCATGGCTCCTCAAACTTTTCCTGAATTTAGTACGCTGGAATGTGAGGGTCCACAGGAAACCCCAATGCCACACCATCCCAGATTTTAATCAGATCATAATATATAATTATAAACGGTGAGATCTTAAACCCTAAATCTCGAAACCCTAAACCCTGTAAACCCCAAACCCTGAACCCTAAACCCTAAATCCTGAAACCCTAAACCCGGTAAGCAGCTCAGGAAATCTTTCCGAACGATCGCGGGGACTCACCGGAGGATTTGGCACGGATGGGTCAGCACTACCATCTGCTGCCTCTCTTTTCCACATTCTCTACGTGAACAGGAAAGCCCAGTGGAGTAAAAGCAGTTCTATGGTGGCTTACATTTTCTTAAGCTGAGCATGTAGATCTGGCCATGGGATAGCACTAAATGGCTTCTGCAGCCCGTGATGTCACCTAAGGCCCCCATTGTGGGGGCATACCAAGTGGCCTATGATGTTGGCGGTGATCAAGAAGCAGAATCTGCCATAATTAGGTTGTACAAAATTCAAACTGACTTCAAGAGCTTCAAATATTCCAAAATTCAATGCTTTAGTCCTGTCTAGAAGCCCCCGCACGCGCAGATCTGGCCCGCACCTTATCAAAGGTTACTCGGAGGTCCATGGCTAACTAGAACCTAGTTAGAAATGGCAGTTATAGCCCAATTAAAAGCATATTGGGACACTACTTAAGGACACTTAGGGTGTTTATAACTGGGTAAGAAGTACAGTTACAAGTATGCCAGAATTACCATGGGTCCCCAAGTAGAAGCATGGACCCAATGTATCTGCCCTAAATCCCGAAGTCCCTGCTTACTCAGTGTATATTGTATATCTGTATATCCCATTAAAGGAGGCATAATTAGTTAGGGATCTGTCGAGAAGTGCAAGTTTGCAACAAGACTGGGTCACATTTGCAAAGTGGTTCAAACTTCTGATACACCGAATCCTGATCAGGATTATATGAGCTCAAATTCCAATAGTATCCCAACAAGGACCCAGAAGATAGTGAAATGTGTCCCAGGCAGGTCTTTGGAGCAGAGTGTTGACATGAACCCTCGTCCCCCTTAATCCCCCTATAGTAGTCCCCCATATCATCCCCTATATAATCGCTTTCAGGAGTTAAAAACACATGGCGTTTGGGGTTGGGGTTTGTGCTGTAGGGGCCGTTGATTCATTGAGAGTTGGGCTTAGGGTAGATTTGGTATGTGAAGTTTCGGGTTGATTCGGGGCTTAAGCCTTACATCCTAAACCCTAAGTTTAGAGTTTAGGGCTCATCTACCCTATATATAGTTCAGCGTCCGGATCTCATATAGGGTTTATGGTTACAGGTTCATGTAGGGTTTATCATAGGATATAGACTCGGGATCGGAAATGCCCGTGCTGCTAAGCTGGGTTTCTTTCATATCCCTGCTATACTAATCTCGCCAAGGTATCCCCTTAGCCCTAAATCCTAAACCGAAAATCCCTCCTAAACCGCAAACCCCTAAACCCCAAATCCTAGATGTAGGGGTGATCAGTTCAAATTAAGTCGGACGAAAGGGAAGCCTTGGCACGCCATGAGAGCTGTAGTCTACACTCCGTCAAGGCGGTTCTGGGGTATGAAAAAGTGGACTGTTCTAAGGGGATACTAGGAGTTTAGACTCTAGCTCATGAGGCAACTTTGGTGGTTTAGGGCTTAGGGTTTAGGGCTTAGGGTTTAGGGTGTAGGGATACCGAGGGAGCGGATATATTAATCAGGGGTCCACATCAACACTCAGTTACCTGAGTTTCTAGTAAGCGTGCTCTGCAGGCCTTAGAATAGAACATTAACCTCATGCCCCGTAACAGCCCAACAAAAAAGGTTTAAGATTTTAGGGTATAGGGCGAAGAACTTAGTAGGGCCCCAGGAACCCCTAAACCCTAAACCTTAAACCCTAAACCCTAAACACCAATCACAGCCGGACATATAAAACATAGCCTCCGCGGGCCAGGGCAAGTTTCATCCTCAAAGGGGGATTAAATGGGGCATTATGTAAGATAGGGTTTAGGGTTTAGGGTTCAGGGTTTAGGGTTTAGGGTTGGGGTATTATGGGGTTATAAAGGGGATTCTAGGTACCTCACATATGGATTTTCCAAATTTAGGAGTACCTGTTCGGGGCTCCCATGGTAAGGAGAAAATCTATTTGGGGTTTTTACGGGGACCCTATTGAGGGAAAAACTACCACAACCTATCTAATCCTGAAACTCTACGGGACTTTGAGTCTTTGCAGTCCTTGGGGCCCTTATAGAAAACCTAGGTTGTGAAAGCGCCATGTACTTTCACAAAGTACAAAGAACCATGCCTACATGAAAATCTCAAAATGGGGGGGGGGGTGCCGTTAAGGCACCTTAGGGGTTCAGTTTTGGGTGTAGGGTTTAGGGTTTAGGGTTTAGGCTGCGGATCCGAAAGAGATGATAGAGGTCCCCATTCGAGATTATATGAGCTACGGGCTCAATAGGGGCATGTATAGGAGCTTTACGAGGCCTCTAAGGCATATACTATAACAAGTGGCTCATATAGCGACTGTTTCGAGCAATTCCCATTTGCTTTTAGAAGCCCGGCTTGATGACAGAGGGTTTAGGGTTTAGGATTTTGGGTGTGGCATCTTGTGGATCTCTCAGAGTGTCTTACAAGACTGTAGCGTTCTCCCAGAGAATTATTCTAGGTAGAAAACGCAGAAGTTATACAAATGTCCCAGCTTGTCAAATTGTTGTGCTATAGATTACGCAGGTCAGACCTTCAATTTGAGGTTTCCTTTGCATTGTAGGGATGCAGTTCTTTGTTCCCACGCATATAATATAGGGGACTAAGATGTATCTTGATCGAGGAGTTGTTACAATTAAGTGGCAAGTGGTGTAAAACCCTAAGCCTTAATCCCTGAACCCTTTCAAGTCTAGCCATGGGGGCATCTCTGTGTGTGCCCACAGACATGCTTGCGCGCACGCAGATGACGGTGCATGAGTGCCTGTTCCCGCTGTGGGCTGTAAAGGTGTCCGACTTCTTGAGAATGAAAGGCGCGCCGGAACCTCACCATGTGCTGCAAGAGAAGGGCTTACTGCACCAGTGGCATCCAGGCATGTTTGTGATATTCGTTTCACACCAGTGGCTGAGCTCCACACATCCGGACCCCGAGGGACGGCAGGTGGAAGTTCTGCGGCAAGGGCTGGAGCGAATAATCGATGGCTCATTGCAGGTCCACGAAGACATCACATCTCGTTCGGATGAGAAGAGCTTATCCCGACAGATCCGCCATCAAATTTCAGAGGGGTATCTTTTCCTTGATTGGTTTGCAATCCCACAACTCACTGCACGGATGTCTGGCGTGAACGAGGACTCGACCAAGAACGATGCAGCTTTGGCTGTACAGAGTATTCCAGCATATGTGGAGCTGTCCGCCGTGTTCATCGCTCTTGTACCGGAACTGGTTCACACAGATTCTGGGCATCCGGTAAATTACGCGAGTTGGCTTTCGAGGGGGTGGTGCAGGGCTGAATTATGGTGCCGGCTTCTATCTAACAGAGAGGACACCAGCATTATCGTGATGTACACTGCCTTGGAAGCCGAATTCATGTTTCCCATGCATTGGCAGCACAACAACATCGTGGAAGGTAACTTCACAGTAGAGGCTGATCGCGCAGATGTTGTGCGACTCGGTGAAATGGCGGTGGAGAGCAAAATCAAGCATTTGCAGGCCAATGGCCCTTTGACCCACTACCGCTTCTATGCTGCAATGCGGACAAAGCTTCTGCGCGAGCAGCACAAGGATCGAGACTTGGACGAGTTCCTTCGGCACTTTGGCTTCCAGAGCTTGAGCGAGGCAGTGCAAGATACTGGCGGCATGAACGGTGTGATGTGCGCGGTTCTTTCTGGAGACGTTGGCATCCTTCGACTGCTGGCCCAGACGGGGGCCAACATGAATCACAGTCTGCAAGACATGGGCGACCTGGGGTATTATGATACGCAGACGGTTCTCATGGCTGCCACGAAGTCGCGGCAATCTTCATCCGTGCTTGCAACGCTGCTTGAACTTCGCGCGAACGTCAATGCTCGCTCTCGAACAGGTCTGCCGGCCTTGTTCATGTGCAGATCACCTGAACATGTGAAGCTGCTGGTTGAATGCCGGGCTGAGATGCGAAGCTATGTCTTGGCAGGTGTTGCTTCATTTGCTGGACCGGAAACTGTGCAGGCACTTCTGGTATGCCGATGCGACCCTACTTTGCCAACCCACTACATGAAGTCCGGGCCTCTGCATGCAGTGGCCATGGGATGTCGCAGTAGCGCACAGGCCGTCGAAACTGCTAGGCTTTTGATAGCGCATCGTGCCGATGTGAACCAACGTTCAGAGCCTACTCCTCAGTTCCTGGGTCGACTTTCGGGTGGAAACTGGGATGGTAGCTGATGACGGGATATGCGGGTCTGGTTTTTAGGGATCCTCTACCACTCTACTCTTTGAGATATACATATATGTCTTTATACATATATTTTTTATCTATGAGCTATAATCCTATAGGGGATTGTATTGGGGTGTGTTATACGGGTTATTAAGGGGGATACTAGGAGTTTAGACTATGGCTCGTCTTGGTTTCTGTCTATTACTGCAACAAGGACTTTTTTCCCTTACCCTAAGCAGAAAAATCACCCAAAAACCTTAGTTAGTATGGTCTTTGGGCCCAAATTCCTTCAAATATGAGTCCTTAGATGCTCAGGGTTAGTAAGGTTCGTCTGGCAGTGTCGGATAGCTCGAGCGCGAGTGGCTCTGTTTGGCTTCGCGAACTGCGACCTCGTCAATATTACAAAGCTTTTTTCCCTTAGCATCCCAGGACCCAAATAAGTAGGGTTTTAGGGCCCAAATACCATTAATCTCATAGTATTTGGACCCTAAAACCTTATTATTTGGTATTATTTGGGTCCTTGGACCCTTAGGGAAAGCTATTATATGGATCTATGAGGTTTACAGTTTGTTATGAGCTGCTGTGAGCATTGAGGTTGACCTGGCGATTGTCGTCGTTGTTTTGTACAACAGTGTGATACAAAAAAAGGGATGGAATGTTTCTTTGGTTTATCCCGCAAAATCCGAATCATCCCTACATCCGGAAATCCTCATATAGGACTTCCCCACAGCTACTCTTCCTAAACTTTAGACCCTAAAAATTACCCGTTAACTGGAACCCTATACGCTAAATCATAAGGCCTAAGTCCCAAGCCCTAAGCATTGTTTTTTTTTAGAATCATACAGGGTAATATAGGGATACGAAGCTGCGAGTTTTCGTAATATTCCTA